CCCCACCCACCACCCGAACCACCCCACCACTCCAACAGAGCCAATTGCCGGCCAAGGTAGAATTCTAGACAGAGGAACTGCCTGACTTCAACAGTTTTTTGGCCGAGATTTGATTGTGAGTGCGCCAAATGTTGCACTAGAAGTAGCACAAAAAGGAGCACAACAACTTGTCCCAGAAATAGCGCATAAAGGAGCACAGCATTTTGCACCAGAAGTAGCACGAAAAGGATCACAAACATTTGCACCGGAAGTAGCACAAGGTCTGCTCCGTTTTCAATCGCAAACCCAGATTCGTGCAGAGGGCCGACATGCCAAAGCTATTGTTTTTACTTGTAATAAGCACAAGGACCAGAGGTAGCACAAAAAGGAGCACAGCATTTTGCACCAGAAGTAGCACAAAACGGGGCACCGCATTTTGCACCAGAAGTATCACAAAAAGGAGTACCACATTTTACACCAGAAGTATGACAAAAAGAGTACAAACGTTTGCAGCAGAAGTAGCACAAGGTTTGCTCCGAGTGCAGGCCTATGGATGCTATGGGTTGCCTCGGGGATACTACGGCGAGCAAAGCCAATTTCAGGAATATGATCATTATGTGAGGATAGATGTCGAGACATACCTTCAAAGCTTAGCCGGAAATTCTTGCAATTCCTGATGCAATTCATTGTGGACCTGATTGTGCTCACGGCTAGTGTGCCGGGTACAGTTTGAAGATATACTCATAGCATATTATATTATTATTACATTCTGTTGTGCGACAATATGTCAGAACCCAATCTTTAGTTTGGGACCAAGTTTCTTGCCCGCGGGAGGTCGAACACACGACGTCTATCTCTCGGAATGTCGCAAGCTTCTATTCTGCCGTGCAGGCCCTTTTACTGACGCAGGGGTTGGGATTGCCCAAGAGTGTGGATTGAGAGCCCGGAGTTGAAAAGCCTTTTGGCAAGCCCAGAAGCGCGTCGTGTCTCTCCGTGACCGTGACGACAAGGAATCTTGCGGAGAAGTGGTGTGCCGGAGTACGAGCCGCCAGCCCCTAGACTTGATGTGAATTCGTTTCCAGTCACCCGGAACCCCCCCCCCCCACCCCGATCCTCTAGGTCCTGGCCCCTCGTTTGAGCTCACTGCATTCCCTGTGGCAGTCTGTGCAAGTTACGGTACCACATTTCGCAGTGCGTAGCCCAAAAAGTTTGGACCCCTGCATGGGGCCACCATTCAGACATCCCTCTCCGCCCACAGAGCCCAGGAACCCATACACGTGCAACAGCTCCTTCGCAAGAAGGGCTTGCGATGATTTTCGATGCTGGGCCTCCTCGGCATATGCCGCGAATGCGAACGTCTCTCTGAGTGTTTTCAGAAGGGGATCGTAAGGCCGCGGCTTAGCAGTCGGGAGTGCAGTCATGTCATGGCAGTAGTACACAACATAATCAGCAGCCTATGTGCTTACATATAGGGAGTTCAGCTTCGTGCCGTCGGCCGCAGGCCATGGCACCCGCAACAGCAAATAGTCTGAAATTGTCTGCTCGACAGCATGCAGCTCAAAAAAAGGCATGTTTCGGCTGCAGCTGACATGGCGGAAACCGTGCGAAACCGCAGTGCGCTTGAAAGCTTCTCTGCTTGACCGAGATCCGTATCAAGAAGGTGGTCGAGAAGATCCAGTGAAGGACGGGCTGCAGAGATGCCGGAAACATGGGATGGAGGGCAAGGATTAGCGTGCGGTGTATTTCAATGGGAACTTGTACAACCACTGAGGTGTTCATCGCCGCCAACACGACTACGACATTCACGATGATAACGAGCAATACCATCACGACCATCGCCGTTGCTGTCTCAACATCCCTGTCGTCATCATTTTGCCAGTCGTCACCAGGAAAATCAGTATCATCACCACAAACCCTGCCTGCAAGCCCATCAGCATGGAAACAGAAGCACCCCTCCGGACACCTTCACCAGCATGGCTTTCACCGTTGGGACTATCATGCCCACCATCATCATCGTAATGAAATTTTGGTCCTTGCCAATGATCACGATCTTCCCCCAATTGTCTTCACCATTTTGACCGTTACGATTGCCAGACCATCAAAATACGTAACATGACCCCTACTGGCCTCTTTCATCCGCTTCCATGCATCAGGCCACGGCACGCCGGGAGAACTATGCAAGGGCAGCGAGCTTACGTGGACTTAGGTTGCACGTCCTTGGCACGCGCGGCGTTAAAAAGTAACGCGAAGGTTTCTGTTGTAATCTGGCGGCGCTTCTGAACAGCTCGGATTTGCCATAGAGTCTCAGACCATCATACTATAGGAGTCGGAAGAATGGCCAAAAGTATCCCCTTCATCACTATACTGTAATGGCCCTCAACACCATAGTCTTATCATCAAGGCCCCTATTAGAAAGGCTCTGGAGAAGGCGAAGGAAGCTGTGGCCTTGTCACCCTCGGATCCTTTGAACTGGGAGACGCACCTTGGCGGCGGCCAATTCGACTTTTCTTTGTTTGGGGTTTAAGGCTCCGGGACCCCCCTAAACCCATAATGAAGATAACAGCTCTCGAAGTTGGTGTGTTCCATCCCTCGGCAATCTCGTGATAAAGCTCTGAAGCACCACATGGACGCTGTGGTCAGCATAATTCCGGAGGAATCTGGTAGATCCTTTAATCACCGGCGGTTTAACTGTTTCAACAACTCTGCCAAGCCAGGCCCCTTGTATCCCTGCGGTTCAGAACACTACCTGGCAAATACGGGTGGCGGTGCCGATAAAGAATAATCTAATTATTGTAGCTGCGGCAAAGGCTTGCAGAGGTTCTGTAGCAGAGCTTGGCAATCACCGTCCCTTGCACTGGTTCCCGCAGTCGTGATGACTGAATCTGCCTCGAGGAAGGAGAGAGCTTGTCCAAGTACTGATTGTTCATTCAGTGACTTTCAGTTATGACGGCGGTCATACAGATTTTTTTGCAGCATGCACTTATTTGAGACGTTTTGTGCCACTTAGGCTCACTAAGCAGACACTACACCAGCACGGGCTACAGCTCAAGGGAAGGACTTTCAACGATCCTATGGACCTTTTAGATAATACCCTAAACCCAGTCAAAACGCACCTAATTACTAAGTGGACCTAAACCGTGGGATCAGCCCAGGCTCGGAAACGCTTACGCCGGGCTCTGAGACTGCCGGGCTCCCCCTCTCTGATCCTCGATCGGGCCTTCCGTTTTCGCGGTCAAGATGGGGGGAATATACCATATATTGCCATGTATGACATAATGAAACGGATACCATAAACAAATAATATACATATTAAATACTCTGTGTGTATATATATATAGAGAGAGAGATAGAGTACAATAGGGGAATTTCTTCCGTGGTCAGTGGGGGTCCGCCAGCCGTGTATAGAATCAAGAAGGCACCGTCACCACACCTATGACAGCCTGTGTTCGCACAAAGGTTGGGAATTTCTTCGTCAACGCAAAGAGACCTGATGAGATCAAGAGGTGGCCAAGTTACTGAGGGCATGGGCATTTCGTGCTCACGCGTGCTTCCACTCACAACTTGTCTCCCCAGTAGCCACGGCCCAGTCGTAGTTCGTTGCCTGCAGGGCCTTGATCGCTTACGAAAAGGGCGATGCGGCCTACAAGAAGTTAGGCTCCCAGAACTTCTGTTTCGCAACCGCAAATGTCAGTGGGCGACGGGTAGGGTCTGGGGCTCTAGGATCCTCCCTTGTGATTGTAGGACTAGCGCCATGAGACAAAGAATAGTAGGGTGGTGCAGTGCCTCCTCGTCTCGAGGTTGGGCAAGCGCAACCCTACGCTCCACTTCAACCGGGGTATGGCCGCAAAATACGTCGAGGCAGGGCAAATTCTTCATACTCACAATTCAGCAAAAGTAATCTGAGGTTTGCCGTTGCTTGAAAGCAATTTTCGGTCTTGCCAAATAGGGGCATGTTCGGGTAATTATAGTTATTCCATCCTGCCATTGCAGGACTACGACCTGGCATCGAGATCCTTGGCCACGGCGCACGAGCCAGGACCTAAGAGCTGCGAGGAGGGGGGGGGGGGGGCAGGCCACTTTTGGTCCCATGGCCATTATGGCCATCAGCGCTCGTAGTCAGCACTGGCGTTTCGAAAGTGCTCGATGCTCGAATCCGGAAATCCTGGAAGCCTGCCCGACTCTATGCCTTCACTTATCCTTGCGGTTTGGAATGACCAGCCAAGCCCAAAAACCCTGCAACACCGGGCCCTGGACTCGACTCCCGGGAACCACCCGCCTAGATCAACAGCCCTTAGAGCCCAAAGTCAGGATTGGTGCAGCAGGTGCTGCAGAGGAGCGCAGGAAGGCCCAGCCTAGTGACAGCTCAGTATACACAATGCTGCTTCAGAGTTCCTATCGTTAAGTGTAGGAGGAGGAGGAGGAGGAGTCGTAGTCGCAGCAGCAGAAGCAGCACTAGTGGTGGTAGTAATAGCACTAGTGGCGGCAGTGGCCGTAGTCGTACGACCAGTAGTCGAGCGGTGGTAAAGGTGGTAGTCTTCGTCGTCAGGAGCAGCAGAAGTCTTAGTCGCAGTGGTTGGGGGAAGAGCTCTCACTGATACCTGTGGCATTTCGGCATCTTGTCAGCCATGAAGGATATCGTGCAGATCATGACTTGACAACCTCAGCTGCACCTTATGCCTCCAAACACTCCGTAGCGGCTTGTTTTCAACATCATTGGTCTTGTATGGTGTTCGCTTCCAGTGCTCGCTTCTACAATCGCAACACACTCTCTGTGTGTGTGTGTGTGCAATCCAGTTGCAGGCGGTTGAACTTTCATTTCCAGCCTCCCCCCAGCCATGCGTGATTCATGACAGCATTTCAGCAAAGCACAGCCGGTCGCTAGGTGCTGGCTCTCGTCGACAGCTTGAAGGACCGGCGCGCTGCCTTCGGTTACACGTCGTTCTGTGCGCTCATCCCACAATTTGGCTCTTCGATGGGAGGCTTATAAACTTGGCCTCACCCAACAGTGTCCAAACCTCCGAGCCTCCCTTTGAATCTCGGAGTCTTGAGCCACTCGGCCCTCAATCCTCAGAGCTCAGCGAACGAAACGCTGAACTCTGAAGCCTGTTGGCATCCGTTGTCCTCAAAGAGCTGGTGCGGAAGACACTGAGAGCCACGGAGTTCGGGGATAAATCCCGAGACCACACCCCCATAAGTCTTAAGTGGCCCCACAGCCCACCGGTTGCGGAAGGAGCACTTGCACAAGAAGTCCGACAAGACGAAGAAGCTGAAGGACCGTGAGCGGATGGGGAGCGTCCCTGGTCACTCCACACTTCGGAATTTCTTCGTGGAGGGGGGCAATTTTCTGGGACCTAAACAGCTACCAATACTATTTTGTGCTTTCCCCATTAACTAGGTTATCCTGCAAGAACGGGTTTCTGTTTGGATTGATGCTCGGTTTCCCTGGCCACAGGTTGCTATTGTACCGGGCTTTGTCTTCAAATGCTGTCAATCGATACTCTCTTTGGTTTCGCCCAGCCGACTACCGACGGAGGCCTCGCCTGGACTGTCCCAGTTGTGAGCGCCAACCGTTCTGCCCCAAAAACGTAACCCAGGGACTTGAGTTATGGCCAATGCTATTTCAGGGTTCCTTACTAAGCCTTACTACAACGATAGTATAATATATCCAAAACCCTATTCTAATTATTGAGGCCTGTACATCAACACGACCCCTTCTGTCTCTGTGTGTATGTGTGTGTGCGTGCGCGTGTGTGTGCGCGTGTGTGTGCGTGTGTGTGCGTGCAGAGGACTTGAGCCCCGCCTTCCCAGACAACTCGGCGTCGCTCGGCAAAAGCCAAGGTAGGGTGTAGGGCGTAGTTCAGGGTTTAGCGTTCAGTTCAGATTTTGGGCCCTCAATCTAGGACATTTTGAGGTGGGTAGTTACCGTTACAGGAGCCTTATAGAAGGTCTATATACCTTATAGAAGCCTTATAGAAGCCCTATATACCCTAAACTCCCCACCTGTAGTTTCCTTTAACTCAAGCTGCAACAGGGCTTTGAGGGTACAGCTAGGGGGCTTTGAGGGTTGAGGGCACCCATGGTTTAGGATTCAGGGAGTCCCAGCAAACTTCACATGGGTAGGAGCAATGCGCATCGCAGGCTTGTTTTGTATCTCCCGAAGCCAAGCTTTCGGTCCCCACGAGGACACATCGAAAGAATCCACAACCTTCTCGGCGACCGTGCTCGATAGACCTCGCCTGGATTGTCCGAGTTATGAGAGTGTCACAACTTCCCCTTTGGCGTCTGTCGGTACATGGCCCCCTGCATTACTCAAGGTACAGCACCATCCAAGCTGAGATCTCAGCGTTTTGGCGGCTGCAGGGATGCGCACAGACGGTCGGAGGAATCATGGCTTCAGATCCGCTGGAGATCTCAGAGCAATGCCCGGCTGCAAGCCTTTGGCTCAAGTTCTACCTCTTTCCAGGTTTTCTCTCAGCATTGCTGAGTTTTCTTGAACTTTTCAGAATACCACATGGCCGAGGATGGGGCTCACTGGTAGATAGAGCTTTCATGGACTACAATACCGGTCTGAATGTTTGTCAGTACTATTCCGCAGAGTTATACTGTATTGAACTGTATTGTGACATGCCCCAAAAGCCTGTTCTAGTTCTTCAGGCCCCTATGATACAGCAGCTCATTCGGAGCAGTAGTCCGGTCGGTGCAGGAGGAAGGTGCACACGAGGATCCGGAGCATACGACAGCTCCCCGGACTGAACCCGAGAAGCACTCTCCTGTAAGACCTTGTGTTCTTTTGTCGAACCCTGTACCTATACGGTAAAGGGCAAAGACAGAGCCTTTGCGGGCGACCCCTGCCAGTCTTCGGCGATTAGGTATTCAGGTATTCCCGTCTCGCTCTCTCCTCCACTTTGTATTGGAATCCTTCGTGTCCCTGAGTGGTGTGGTGTGTGCGCGCGCGCGGGTGTGTGTGTGTGTGTGTGTTGGCGAGTCCTCTGCACTGAAGTCCGTTTGCAAAACTGGCTGTCGCATTTAGCAAATGAAGGTAGGTACGTAGGTAGGTAGGTAGGTAGGTAGGTAGGTAGGTAGGTAGGTGGGTAGGTAGGTAGGTAGGTAGGTAGGTAGGTAGGTAGGTAGGTACACACACATGTACATGTACATGCATGTATGTATGTATGTATGTATGTATGTATGTATGATTTATGTATAGACACTACGCATATGTAATGCATTTTGTAACATACTACAAAATGATATAATATAGCATAACGTGATATAGCGGAATTTAGTGTTATGCAATTTAATGCAACGTAGATAAGATAGTTTAACATAGCCATGATGTTCGATGAGGTAGCAAAATACAATGCAGATATATCATAACACAACAAAAGGTAAGATGAAATAGCATAGTCAGTAGGTGCGTGTGTAAAAACGCAATATACTACAGTATAGCATAAGAAAAGATCAGGCAAGATAAGGTAAATAAGATCGGATAAGGCAAGGTTAAACGTCTAACTATATTACATGTTTTGTAGACTATATGTAAGTATGTATATATATATATATACACATATGCATATCGAGAGAGAGGCTATAGAACAAGCATGTCTACGACACCTCCCAGATGGATAACAAAGGCCCACATTCCCGAAGACCGAGCAGCCCCGAGGCCCGGAATCCCCCGATTCTCCTCGAACCTCGGACCCGCCTCTTTCGGAAGCTCAGAGCTCAAAAGGGAATCCCTGAGTCCCCAATGTTTATGTCAAGATCTCATAAAATCCTATAGAGTTTACATGGTGTTGGACATGGAAGCTCCATGGAAGCTTACTCTGCACGCAGCGATATCCCCAGGAAGAGGTGAAGCAAGACCACGGCGAATGCCTCGGTCCTCGAAGGGTGGCATTTCCGGGGGGTTCAGAGGGATGGCGTCCGGGCTTCACGTTCAAGCCTGGGCCGAACCCATGGGGGCTGTCCTCTGTCCTCATGTCCTTTGTGATACTGTATATTGTAGTATGTTATGTTATATTATATTGTATTATATTGTATTATATTGTACTATATTGTATTATATGATATTTTATTGTATTATATTGTATTA